TTAATAATAAATTTATGTAATAAATAATAAAAATTGATTTAAATTTAATTAATTAATTAAAATTATCTAAATGATAATAATATTAAAATAAAAATTAATTGTATATATTAATTATAAAAAAAACATATTTATTATATTTTTAATTTATACATCTTAAAATACAAATTAAACAAATTTATAAAAAAAAGCATATCTATTATATTTTTAATATATATATATTTAGAAACACATTTTAGAAAAAGTTATATAAATATCATTAATTAATCAACCAATTAAAAAAAAAAATGGTTTTAGCTTCTCTTCATTCTTTCACTCTCGCAAGCTATCCGATCACCGGATAAATGTTTCCTCCGGTGGCGGACACATTCCATCCCCACTCCCCTACCCTTTTCCACTAATTTCCAAACAAACTCCAGCTCCCTTGAATTTATGGACCCTCGAGAGATCTCCGATGATAGTAACAAGGGTTTCCAGCACTTGTTCTTCCGAATCTCTTTCGCCCTTCTCTTCCCCATCTTTTCCTTCTTCCTCCTGTCATTTCTGGTCGGACTTGCAGTGACTTTCATCGGCGACTTGTATCCAATGTCCGTTCAGTCTCAGTGCAAGATAGTCTCCAGCAGTAAGTTTCTCAACACCATCCACGATTAGTTACTTATTGTATTAAAAATTGGAAACTCTAGATTTCTCTGCCTTCCTCAAATGAAATATGATGCATAATGCGAACTGTTTCTCCATTTTTCATTTCTTCAGGCGTGGATCTTAGATCAGTTAAAGTCTGTGAACTTGGATTGTTGAATTACAAAGCCAAGCATTTCTTTTATCCCTCCGAAAGAACAAAATATAGATGTCACTATGAATACTATTGGACCTCAGTATTTAAGGTAGATATAGCTTTATCGTAGTCCCATTTTCTTAATTTTTTGAAAAGGATTTATGGACAGTGTTTTTACGCAACTAAATCTTACAACATGAAGTTGTGGCTCTTCTTAATTCGGGTGTGACACATGATACTATATAAGACTTTGTCTTATGAATTTATGTTAAAAAATTTCAGGTGGAATACAAAGATCATTTTTTGGGTCAGAAAAGACTTGCCTTTACAGAGGCGCCAAATGAAGCCCTCCCTCTTAATTGCCGGCCTGATTTTGGTGCAGCATATCTTACCAAAGATAAGTTCAAGGCAGGTTTTTTAAGGGTCCTAGTTTAACCTATGATGATTTTTACAAATTTTAATGTCCATAATTTATGGATTTTATTAGATTTTAGTTCCTGTTTTCCTTGAATTCATGGTTAGATAAAAGAATGTAAATGAGCTGCATGTTTAGAGGCATAGAGTGCCTGATAAAACTTTAAACTTTTCATTTTGAAATAAGGTTATGATTCTTACCATGCAGTTTATAATCCTATCTCCCTTTTCAGGTTAATGAAACCTATGACTGCTGGTACACATCTGGCATTTCCAAAGTAAAGCTGTATCATGATGCGTTTTTCAGTTGTCAAACAATAACCAAAGATACTTCCTCAATTGAAATGACCAAGCGACTGTAAGTTGTTTCCTTTGTTTCATTGTTTTGTATAGTATTGTTTTGCATTATTCTATATAGGCACCTTTTTTTTTTTGGGTTCATGTTAATGTTGGTTTTATTGGCATCTAAAAGAGAATTTTGAATCCCTGATAATGTAAATGCAGAATCAAGGTTTTAGTAGTTATTGGGGACACTAACAAAGCATTATGTGATTTGCTTTTTTTTGGTTTGAACAAACATAGGCTCTTAATACCATTTGCATCAGTTCCTCAATTTGACTATCCCCTGTTACGATTCTGTTAGGACCACCAGGATTTTAGACTCGTGGTTTTCCAGCAAGGGGAGGGCTAGTTATTGGAGGTGGGAAACGGTAGCAGGTGCTGTTACTGGCTTCTCTACTTCATTGATCACAATCAGTTTCTTCAGAGTTTTACAACAAACAAAATCTTGGTTGCCCAGAGTCAATTTAACCCGTATTTGTTTTCTACTGCTATACATTTCTTTTATGGGTTGGTTGGTCTGTCAATACTGGAAAAGACTCAATCTCCCTGCAATTAAGAAGTTTGAAATTTCTAGGTAGCACTCTTTTTTCAGTTTTGATGTGCTGTAGCCATCCTGATGAGGACGTGTAATATGATTTTGTAGTTGTGATATATGTAGCATTTCTTGCCCAAAGATGTAAAATTGGGTTGTTACCTGCTATAGAACAGCTTAGTTAAGAGAAAGTCTTGTATAGATAACTGTTCATAAAGAACAGCTTTAATTTGATATAGTGATTTGAATCCTGCATAGGAAGATTTCTTCCACCATGTGAGTTTTATTTTTCTGCATTCTACAATGAATCATGAATGATATCATTTGCTTTTTACAAATGTTGTAGGGAGATACAGAATGATTTATTGGCACTAATGGAATTGAAATCCTTTCTTATTGTAGTTTGGCCATGCCATTAACTTATGTCCCGTATTGTGTTTTTTGGCACCAGAGATAGTTTTAATATGGTTTCACTTCACTCTACATGCACTAGTTTGTCCTAGTCAAAAGTGTGCCATTCATCACTCTTTTCTATTCAGGACTTCATTTTGCTCTTGATCCATGAAAAAGTGCAGGGATATTGGAATTGATCTTTCCTGTTGAAAATCACAGTCCTGGAAAAGTTTTGAAAACAAAATTTTTCCAGAACTACTTGACACACAAATTACTGGGCACAGAAACCTTGCAGTCCTTCACTGCAGCTAAATATAAGGCGGATGTAGTTTTCAAAATTCTTTTAGCACCTGTTCCGAAAAAACTTGGTGACTTCTATACCTGATATAAGCCATCAGATAAGTCCTGTTATACATGTGACTTCTACATCGTGCCTGATTCTCCAAGGATCCTTTCAATCTCTTCCAGGAGGCGCTCCTTTTCTTCACACAATTCCTCATTCTGCTTCTGGAGCTCTTCTATCTGTTTTGTTTGTTCAGAATCCTTCCTGAAATTTTCACATAGCAATGCTTGGTTACTCCATGGCAAAAGCTGATAAATCTAAGATTATGCTCATTATTAGTAAGCATTGGCTTCTCTGATTACCTATTCATGAAGGACAAGTTAAGCTTGAGGGATCGCACTTCCTTCTCTAGATTTTCACAGCGCCTTAAGATTGTCTGCATGTCAGATGGGATTGCCGGTGTAGAACTCCTCTCCTTTGCCTCTGCCATCCTGCATTATCAACAAATTCAGTGTTGGCCAAAGATTTTTAGTTAGAGGCATCCTGATGCATATAATTCTTATTTTAGGGTGTATGCTAGAACCTTTGCAAATTCAAATAAATGAAATATTGGAGTTCTTTAACAACATAATTGGTTACTACAGAACCAAAGAGGAGAGGAAACATGGGAACATTGAAGAACAGAGTCCATTGGCTCACTGTGTTTGAGTTTTACTTACTTTCTTGACCGCTCCACCCTTCGTTTTTTGGTTGGATCTGCCCTGTCCACTGCACATTCTTTACTTGGTCAGAGAAGCTAGTATGGCAAATATTAAAAGCCATATGCACATTCTTGGTAAGTTCTAATCTCAACTTATTACCTGAACTAGTTGATGATACAGATCCATACCGAACCAGACCTCCCCTCTGCTAAAGATGCCAAGGCAAAGTGGTGATCAGGAATAGTGAAGGGAACTAAGTAAAGAATTCAAGGTTAACACCATTCCTTTTGAAGCAAAATAACATGGTAATGGCAGAGATTGAGGATTACCTTTCTATCGTCCTTCAAATTATCAATTATTCTTTCTCTGAAATCTGCATTTCAAAATGTATATGCCCACATTAATATTGTTAGCCAATGTATGGCTGCTATAGGAAATGAGTTATGGGGTCTTTCAGCAGAATCAACACCATTTGTTATAAAATGATGATACAAATCTACTCATCTTGAACTTTAGTAAATTTTTTTTTTTTTTAAAGAAAAATACTGGTGATGAAGCCTTGTACATGTTCATGATCTAGGAGTAGAGAACCCAGTCACGCATATTTATCAACCTGTGAAACACATACCTTTCCCTTTAGAACCATTTTGTGAGCCCCTGCCGTTTCCAACTTGTTTCCTTGAAGTTTCGCAAGCACTTAAATTGTGACTTGAGTTGGTAGGGCCATCACACATATCAAAACCAGATGAAACTACTGGTGCAGCAGCAGAGGACTCACTTTGAGAAGCTTCTCGAGAAACTGTGCTCATCTGAATTGTGTTTGTGGGATTTATAAAACCCTCAATAGATCCTAGAACTGTTTGCAGAACTCCAGCATCCTTCACTTGGCCAGTAGAAACTTCTGCAAAACCTCCCGGCATTTCATGAATATGATTTGCTAGTCCTTGATTGAAACAACTGTTAACCATAACTTCTGGAGCATGAGAAAGTCCATTGGAACTATCCTCAAGCGCTTCTTTCTCCATTTGATTCCCAAGCCTTTTGCGTTCAAGCATACCCTTTAGCATGCTGACAACGGAAGAAACATTATCCACATTGCTAATCTGGGGGGTATAAAATGTTGATGAGGATGAATTTGATGGAGATATGAATGTGCCCAACTGGCTGGGAATGTCACACATTGGAAGGTCATTGAAGCCATTTGGCTCTGGAAATTCTCCATTCAATTTGTTGACACCAATCGCAGAAGCATTGAGTATGTCTTCCAGCCTTGGTGTTGTGTGAGCACCTTGCATAGCAGCATATCTCCTCCTATAAACATGTTTTTACCCCAAAAATTAAAAAAATTAATAGTAATTAATTTCTTATATCTGCCTGATATAGACAAGTGCAGTAGAAAAGATAGAACCAAAGGAAAAACAATTTTCAGTTGTTTTGGCTCTCAAAAAACATCACTTGTCAAAATTGTCCCTAACATGAATTTTATGAATGTAGTAATGAAAATTACTAACACCTCAATTCAGAGGATCGGCTTCTTGTCATGGCTTGCGAACTGTGAAACCAGGCCTGCATCACAAGTTATAGAGAATACAGATGGTCAGAGCCGAGTTAAATAAGTTTCTGTCAAGACAAGAGTATTGTATGAACTAACCTTGGCCAAAAATAAATCACCAGGCTGCATTCCCTTTTCGACAGCAGTCCTAAATATGAGCCAAAAGTAAATCAAGAATTGAAAGATGCATATTTGTTAACGAGAGTAGCTCATTGTGGAAGTGTACAGTAGCTACCTGACTGAATTTTGATTTAGATCTCCTGAGGCTGAGATTTCATCACTGCCAGAATTATTTTGTGAGTGTACAGCACCACTGCCATTTTTCTTTTCAGGTAGATTTCCCTGCGGCTGAGTAGACAAGGTGGCTAGTTCAGCGGATATCCTGCATTAATATTAATGTGATGTAAGTTCAATTACACATAAGTTGATGTTTGAAGTTCAGTCCTTAAACGAGCATGCCTAAAATTTGGTTTCTGAGGCAGTAGTAACAGCAATAAAATTAAGGAGTGATGGAATAATATTTCAGCAAAAACTTTTTGAGGCTTAAAAAGTAATGAAATCCAAAGAAAGTAAAAGAAGCAGTCCATTCATGGGATTTGAATTTGCAAACTCTAGTTTAACTACTAACCTCCGAGATGCCTGTCGAGTCCGTTGTGCCATGCTGGATGAATTCTGGAAACATAATCATATCAAGGCAGATAATATCAGATCAAAAAGTTCTCATCATAACAACCTTTAAGTCTATTTCTATCAAGTAAAAAGCTAAAAGCAGAAAAAATATTTCATTGCCTGTCATCTGTAGATTCAAATTAGCCTTAACTAGTGAACATGATCCGTTGAACTAAATTAATAAGAACTCCTAAGGCCATGCCAAAAGAAAGGCTAGATCCAGGCACACTCACAATCTAACCAGTATTATATTTCATAATTTTGATGCTTAACTACATAAGACTTGCAAAAATTCAAGAAAAACTTGGTGAAACAAGATGGTAAAAGTTCCTTGCCTCTCCATTTGTGAGCCAGCTTTTGAAAAGCTCCTCACTATCTGCACGAAAATTATGAGGAAGATTCTTAAACCCCAACATCTCCATGGCTGGTACAGGCATCCCCATTGAGCTCTCCATCAAGGACTTCAAAAACAGCTCGTCACTTGAATTCCTAGAAAAATCAGAGAACACCCTTCCTTCTGTCTCCATCAAACTCTTCTCTCCCTCAATGATCTGACCTGCTTGCAACTGATGCGAACTAATATTCTGCCTACTACTTCCTCTCTTTACCAAAGAATCAGCAGTCAAACTCCCCTGGTTTCCATCATCAACCATATTACCTTTCCCTGAAACAAATAAACTAACAATCTCCTCCACCAAAACAACTCACACTTAGCACCACAAAGTGAAGATTAACAGCAAAAATGAAGCATATCAATCAACCAACCAACCTCGCATTGCCCCTTAATTCAAAGATCAGTTTCCTTCCACAGTTCATACCCAAAAGCCAAAACCCACCAAAGTTTTTGACTTAATGAAGCAAAAATGCTTTCTTTCCCTACTCTATAAACATAAAAAAATAGCTACTTGCTTTTTGTGTTGGGCTGAAAATAATTCCAGAACTATGGAAATAAAAAACAAGAATAACGGAAGTTCCTATGCACTTAGATTACAAGGCAAAATAAAGCAAAATTTTGTCTTTTTTTTCGCCTCTTGAATAATTTAACAAAATAACGGATGAAAACTGGGTATTAAACAAGAAATAAAATATGGGAATCTTTGAATATATAGAGCTATGATTCTATATACCATGTTTTTGTCCTTTTATTTAACTGTAATTGGTGCTGCTATTATATGCCATTCACCAGTTAGAGCGAGCGGGAAAATAACGAAAATGCTTAATTGAGTGTTACTCAGGGTAGATAACAGGGAATGGTTTGACTAATAAAAATATTTTCTTTATTTAAATAAAGTATAAAAAAATATAATACAATCTAAACTATATTAAATTACATAATATTAACAATTA